ACACACTTTCCAAAGAAAACGTCATATGATTGAAAAGCCAGCTATTCCTTTAAAAGCCATTTGGATGAAAAATACTCGGTGTGTTTGAACCACGATTCCCGTTTCATTGATGGGGAAACTTGAAGTGCAGGGATGTGAAAGGACTTGCCTCCTGCTGCAATTACAGCCTGATTCTGTGTGCTCTGTGTTGAGCAGAGCTGGGGTAACAGCGAGTCCAACTCCATCTAAAAATGAATAAATAAAGGTAGCAATGAACCTAAATTCCTTGAAGGAGGAGGAAGAAACCACAACTGTGATTTTATGCTGTCCGCCTGGGTACAGTGCAGTTCTCTTAGGAGCTATTTAGAGCTTCCCAAAGGGGAAAAAAAAAAATCTGTTTCAAAAGCATGTTTCTCCTTTTGTGTCCCAACATAATGCAATAAGCAATGACCCATCAAGGATCTGATTCATGTTATGAATAGCGGAAACAAAACAAAACTTGTTACAGTGGCAGGTTACGTTTACTCATCTAATCCAGCGCCTAATCCAGCCTTTTTAATAAAGCATCATATTGCCAACATCTACAACAGATCTTTAGAAGGAAATATATTGGGAGGAAGGTGTCTTTCCTTGTGTGTGAATCTCTAAGCCATCTCACCCATGGACTTTCCATCACTGGCTAGGCTTTACCTGCATGAAAAAAACAGCTGGAGATGGCAATGGTCATCAGCAGCAATTTTGCTTTTCTATGTAGAACAAATTCAGGATTACTAGTTGTTAGTGTTTTCTCATTAAAAGCAGAATTCTAAAGTAATGCTTGAGTGCTTCAGTGTTGCTACCTAACACACACTTCATTTTCATAAGTATTTTTAGACTCTGTGTGTGTGGGGGGGGGGGGTGGTCAGAGTAGGTGGTTAGTGGGTTAGATAACATATTTCAAAATTCCCAGGATGAACCATGGGGGAAAAACCAGCTTAGAAATCACATGCTCCAGCTATAAAAATACAGCTTGCCTTTTTTTTTTTTTTTTTTTTTGAAGAAACTTTAAAATTTTTTAGCCAGCATAGTCCATTGTAGAGAAATGTACCTGTTGCTGGTAGAGCCGATATCCCTCAGAAAACTCACCCTTGCCAGCTAAACTCATGGTTTTCATATGGAGGTCTTGAATACTTCATTTGTGGGGGCTGTCCTTGCAGTCCCACTGTAAAGGATCCTCTATGAGCGATTCCCCAAAACCAGACAGATTTTCAGAGCCTGAAGTAGAAGAGAAAGATGTCTTTACATGCTTAAAACAATTACTTCTTTTTGGAAGTACCTTTTTGGATAGTATTTTTCAGCTAATAACATAAGTGATCTTAATTCTTTTGAGCTTAAAGATTTTGTTCACTTCATCGTCACTTCCAAATATTGTTGAAGTCATCTGTTTAAAAAAGAAATCCTTTGAAGGTAAATAATTCACCTTTACAGAGACAGAAACCAAGTCTGAGAAAGAAGAAATGATTACTCAGAGTTGCTTGTACTTTGCCTACACACAATCTCTGTACCTTTATAACTGCAGCATTGGAAAAACAAATACCTAAAAAGGTGGAGCTCTCGTAATGCCAACCAAATATGCTGACAAACAGGTGCGTTGTCTACCTGGCTTTGGTTTTTAAACCTAGGAACAGCATTTGGGCCTTTTTAGAGATAATTGCATTTCTGCTGCCTTAAACTAAGCCAAGAGTTCAGAAATGTGCCACACTAAAATCCCTTTCTGAATTGTTTTATAGGAGTTTAAAGCCCAAGGTCAGGGCTTTAAACCCGTCCCTTGGCAAGGCAGACCTTCCGCTTTCTCCCTTCAGTTTGAGGAAGGGAATATATTTAGAGGAAAGAGCCACATCCACGTTCTTTACATCCTGTTACAGCTATCTGAAACCAGAGATTTTCAGATCCAAACGAGGGAGAGGGCGACCTGCTTCATGAATGGACCAAAATGGAATGTTTTCATTTCCAGTGGGCTTTAAGCCAAGTAAATATTAGTCGATCCAAACTAGTTTTGAAATTAAATTATTCTTATTTGTTGGAGCATTCCAGAGAATGACTTTGATCTGTCTGTACTTTCACCAAAGGGATATTGGCAGGCTGGCCTCCCATTTCTAGCCATTCGGGATGAAAGAGGGGTTATAATAACCACCTTGTGTGGCAGTGATACTGAACAGATGACATTTTTTAGACAATATTAAATGAATAAAGGTAAACATACTTCAATTAAAATGTTTTTGGAGGCTGAATGCAATAGTGCTGTTGGAAAGTCTTCTATGTGGGTTGGAGGAATTTGGCTGCATTTGTAACTGATTTTCTTTAACTCCAAAAATGTTTGAAAGAGAGGGGTTTGTTCTGTGCGTTATTTCCTTTTCAAATAAATACGTTGTTTCAATATAACTTTTAAAAATCAAATTAAAATTGGCAGTGGACAGTGAAATTATTAATAACTGGGAAGTCGAGATGTGCATTACTTAGTGCTTTGCTCTTTTCCTTTTGGGATCTCGGATCACGTCACGCACGTGAGCTGTACCACGCACAGTACAGCTGAGAGGTAGCCCAGAAGACACCTGTAAGTAAGCTGAAGCACGCAGCAGTTGAGTGGCATGTTATCCATCTTGCTGAATATATTTGGAGACAACTTAAAATTTCAATTCAAGAAAAAAGTAAAATGCTCAGGTATTATATTAAGCCTATTGGGCGTTCCCCTTCAGTCTTTTGCTGGAGGGTCCTCCAGAAGAGGAGGAGGAGGGAGCAGGGTAGTGGGGACCATCCCGCTGTAAAGTGCTGCTTCGGCACAGCTGAAGAGCCTTTTAAACTGATACCAGGTAATGATAATTTGTGCTTCCTCTAGACTTAAACAGGAATTAAAGTAAACTGAATTAAAATATAAACATAATAATTTTGGTTGGATAGGACTGCTGGAGTTCATCTGGTCTAACCACCCCCCAAAGCCGGGCCACCTTCAAAATTAGGTCAGACAGCTCCACACCTAAAGGTTGGGTATCTATATGAGAAGTTCAGCTACCTTTTTTTAAGCCCCATCTTAGACAGATTTCAGGTTATGTGGAACCTTTGGTGTTCAGGTTTTTTACTTGTCTTTACATATCTTTTGTCAATAACTAAATACACAAAATAGCTTTTGCAATAACTCTGCAAATTAAATTGCTTTTCCTTGATATGGAAGTGACTGTTTCACATGGATAGACAGGTGTCTTCTCATGTGCACTCTATGCGGATTTGCTTTTCTTTCACAGGAATTGGACTAGCTGTACTTGCTTTCTGAGTTAAATAAAAGAAAAATCTCCTTTAACAGATACCACTTTAAACAATCAGCCCTGTTGATGAGTGTCCTGAAATGTCACCTGCATTTTAAGTCTATTTAAGTACTTTGTATGTTCATGCCTTAAGGGAGGAACAGTTTGAACAAAGACGGATATAAGAACCAAAGCACAGAGGGTTTGTAGGTTAAAACTTCAGCTTTTGTTTTTTTGCACATCCGCTCAAAACTGGATCCATTTGCTTGAAATGGAATATTTAGTTTTCAGATCAGCATGTGAACTGGTCATGCTTGAATTTAAAGCTTGATTTATTTCTTTTTGCACCTGTTTTTATTTTAGTACTGACTAGATACAATATACACTTTTGCTACATGGTTCCTTTCTCCCCAGCTGGAAGTCTGGTCTGATATTATCACATGAGACCTTCCTAAAATGTCTGGAACCTCTGGAAATGCAAACTAGGCTCACTGCTCCATTTATCTTTTTTTAATTCATGGTTTTCTTTCCTGTGTGTTATAAGACCGATCCATATATTTGTTTTTAAGACTAGGGGGCTGATTGTGTGCTGCCCTGCAAAACCTTGTTTCTATCATAACAAGGTGCAACCCTGCCTGGGGCAAGAGGTACCAGACAGGCCAGATCAGAGGAGGAGAACTGGACATGAACTTGGAGGAGGAAGCTGTGGAGCGGCGTAAAAGGAGCTGAGATGAGGGAGAACGGGGGGGGGAGACGTGAGACAGAGCGTGGGAAGCGATGCTAACGCAGCACGGGTGTGCGGGAGGGCTTGGAAGACTTGGACTTTTCTGCAATAATTATGTTTGACAAAGAGAAGGAATGAACTGAGTGATCTTAAGGAGAAAGCTTTAAATGAAATGACATGCGTATTCTGTTGTGTATGCAAATTAGAATTGCATAATCTGCAAAAATAATAATAAAAATAAAAAATATGTTTTCCAGATTTGCAGCCTTAATCATATGCTCAATGGAGCAGTGGCAGAGAGCTGGCTAATGCAGCTGCAGTGTAAAACTGGGGCATCCAACTGGTTTTGATCTTGATAGAAAAGGGGCAGAAGGTCACTTCACAGTCTGTTGTTCTCAGTGTCTCGTAGTTTATGTAATTCTTCAGACAGATAAATGATGTATGGTGAGATCAAATGAGCATGCTTCACTTAGTGCTGTAGTAACTGCAAGCTTTCCTTGCTTTCCCTTCCCCATGGAAAAATGAAGTTGGTGGATATTGCTCCTGTTCTTGTCCACGCAAGTGTATGAATTTCAGGTGTATTTACTGTATTCTGTGCTGGGTTAACTATGATAACCATGTGTGCCCTTTACGAACATAATTTTTGCTGATAGCAAAGATGAGCAGAATGATAGAATATACTGAAATACCGAGATACTGAAACAAAGCCTCCCTAAAACTAAGCAGGAGTGTTCAGCCAAAATATCACAACAGATTTCTTTTCAGGGCCTGAAGAACTGCTGGTTTTGATAACGTACAGAGGTTTTCACCAAGGCACGAGCTTATAGATGAGTAACAAGAGCTACCACTGTCTGTACAGCCACAGTTACTGTTTTTTTGTAAGGAAGGTGGAAAAAATCTCAGTGGATATGAAGCTTTCATATCTTTGTATGTTTATGGATTGTGGATGAGAGATGCATTCAGTGATTAAGTTGGTTGCACTGGAAGTATCAACACAGTGCCTAGTTTGGTCAGGGGAAATGCGAACATTCAAGCAAGAATTAGGGAATTTGTTCAGATTTCTGAAGGTAGAGGCAATTTTAGGCCGCTATCCCAATTCTGTTGTTTTAGCTATGCATGTGTGGGGGGATATGTATATATATGCATGTGTGTGTGTATAGAAAACCCTGTGTGGGGTGTGTGCTCATGTTTGTCAGACTCGGCATGATTTCACCATCTTAAGTTGCTATTTTGAATATACCCTTGAGATTTCTACATATCTCTTCCCAGAACTGTGCTCAACATATTTTCTAGCTGGTGGGCTGGCTGTGATGCTGAGAGGCATGCTAAGGATGACTTGCATATCTGAAAACTAGGATGGGCCCCGAGTCGTGTGAAAGGAGTGTGTATGAACAGGGAGCAGGAGCCTTGTAGGTAGAGAAGTTTTATGTTATATGATGCAGTTCTTGCAAATGTAAACCTAACCTTTTTCCTTGTCCTTTTTCCTAGGGTGACTCTGTTATTACAGTGCAGCTGACTGAGGAAGATAAAATTGAAGATGATGTAGTTTTTTACTTGGTCTTCACTGGGTCAACTGTCCAACACTGCACAAGCACGAGAAAGATTAATCCAGGGAGTCTGGAGACAATTTCTCCTGGTAAACAATTGCCTTTCTTTGCACATCAGTGTATCAGTCTGTGAAATATGGTTAATGCAAGTAGACTTAAATGTAATGCTGTTTTGTTGCTTGTCTTTTTCCTCATTTACACATTCATAGAGAGTAGAAAGCGTGGTTTGGATGGCTACTTTTGCCTTTTAAAAATCTCTCGCTTGATTTCGCTACAATTACATGGCTCTGAGATTGCAATTATTTAATGTGTAACTATGGGATTCTATTGTAGAAAATAACATTATATTTACACATAGTAAAAAGTTTTTAAATGCAAGCAAGATAATGGAAGACACATTTGCCAGATTTGAGATGCTACTGTCCAAGCAGTGTACAGCCCAGTAAGTCCTAGCTAAACTTTAGGATCTGCTTAACTTGGTGAGGTTCATTGCTGTAGTTGTGGTGAAATACAACTCTTTTCCCCTAAATCCTGTCATGCAGATCAGAGCCAACGCAGAGTTTCTGAAACTCTTGTAGTGGCAGGCAGGCAAGCAAATGGTGCTTGGTGCCATCCCTCCAGCACAGCCAGTTCAGACGGGGTGGGTTTTCACGTTAAAGCCCACCACTCTTCTTAAGCCTTCGTGCCATTAACAAAACAAAACAAAACAAATCGGCGCGACATTTTCCTTTGGTGACTTCAGGACCGTGGGAATGAGCGTGTTCCAGGCTGCGGTCCTTACCATTAACCTTTCATTCTGACTTGTTGCTATGCAGCACATTGATACTAGTGTGAGAAAATGCCTGATGTTTTCACTATACACAGTATAGCTTAAGTGATCGAGTGTATTTATTTCTTGGGTTTGCTTTTTTATGTCTCTCATAAGTATTGTTTTATGAGAGATGCACGTGAAGTAAAATTTGGGCTAAGGAGTTTTTCCTCCTGGGAATGAGTGGCTAGGTGTTGGCCACTGTATTTTTTTATTTCCTCCTCTTTTTGTGCTGTTCGGGTTGTTCAGTTGGCTTGGGAAGAGAAATCTTTTTACGGTTACTGACGACCAGAGCTCCGTGCAATCAATTAGATTAGTGCTTATTTTCTCCCCGAGGAGGGAGAAAGAGGAGTGACTCCTTCCCCGCTTTTGTGTGGCGGGCGCAGGGCTCTGCCAGCCCCTCTTGCAATGACCTCACCTCCCCCTCGGGACTGCGGCTGTGTCGCCAAGAAAGGAACTGAAAAGCTTCACTGTTCCCCTTCAGCCCGTGCGGGAACCGGCGTAGTTGATGGGATTTCCGGGTGGCAGCGACGCTTTCCTATCAGCGCTGGCCCTGACGTCCTCGGAGCAGCGGTGGATGCGGCTGGGGCAGTGGCTGCCAGGCGGTACCCGGGGCGATGCTCTGGGCTCTGCCTGTCCTGCCGGCCCCAAATATAACTGAGTCACTGGGGAGGGCTCCCTGGGGCTCGTTTTGTCGTTGTTAGTGGGAAATCTGACTCCGTTCGTGATTCAAAGGGAAAGGAGGGAATTGCTCTCAATTGTTCCTTTAGTTATAATGGGCTTGCTTTTTTTTTTTTTTTTTTTTTTTTGGACCCAGTAGAGTTGTGATCTTGTGGCGTGGGATGCTAGATAGGGATGGGTGCTGTCCCAAAATACAGCTTGTATAAGACAATTATAAGACATAAAGAGTTAACGGACCTTTCGGAAAGATAGTCCCATTCCTGCCAGATCACTCTGGGGCCATGGAGCAAGGGAAGAGGTGACATCTCAGATGTAAAGCGGCCATTTGGATAACAGTAGAGTTGTGATCTTGTGGCGTGGGATGCTAGATAGGGATGGGTGCTGTCCCAAAATACAGCTTGTATAAGACAATTATAAGACATAAAGAGTTAACGGACCTTTCGGAAAGATAGTCCCATTCCTGCCAGATCACTCTGGGGCCATGGAGCAAGGGAAGAGGTGACATCTCAGATGTAAAGCGGCCATTTGGATAACATCCTCTTCTGTGCTCGTACCTCGTTTTGGAGAAACTACCTGAGAAAAAAAGACTTTAGTGGTGAAAAGGGTGCTGGTCAGAAGCGAAATGGGGAAAAATTTTTTTCACATCCTCCACTGACACAGATGCATTTGTCCAGTGTTGCTTCAGCACTGACTTCTCTGATTTCAGTAAGAGCATGACTTATTTCAACCCAGCTTTTCCTCCTCCTCCTCCTCCTCCTCCTTCCTGAACTCGACAGTGAATCTGTAATCGTGTGTTTACACTGTATATTCAGCCAGTTGCCTTGGAGATGGTTGTGGTGACTCAGAGGTGGCGTTATTTGACCTTGCTGCAGGATTAGCTATGAACAAGAGACAGTGTGTGGGAGACCAGCCCTTGTTTAAACATCCAAGCCCGGGCACTTAGTAAGTGTTCTGCAAGGAAACTCTTGCAAACAGCTTCTAGCCAAAATCTCATCCTTCACTTCCAGCTTTGAGCATCTTTCGTTTGTCCCTGTAATGCACGATGTGTTGCACATCCCTGGGAGCACAGCTGCTCCTCAGGGACGGCTCAGGTGGATGAAGGAAGGGCTGATTCACTCAAGAACATACCGAGCCTCTCTGCCTGCCTGCCTTGACCCTCCTCTGCTTCCCTTCTGAGCTTGGAGGCTCTTCCCTCATCCTCGTCCTAAGTCCTCAGAGTTTCTTGTGGTCCCCAGGAGACTTCAGATGAAGTCCATCAGGGCCTGGGGTGAAAGGGGTAACCATAATTCTGTTAAAGCTGATGTAAAAACAAAACCAGGTTTTTTATTTTTTTTTCTTGATGTTGTCAGTAGTTTTGGTGATGTATGGAGGCATAAAAAACAGAAAGAGAAATGCTTTTATTACATCTGCTGCCAAAATTAAGTAGAACGTTTTAGCAAAGCTTTCAAAGGAAATCACATTAAAAAAAAAAATCTCAACAACATAAGGTGGTTTTAGATGAGAAATTAAAGAACACGGAATAGAAATATAAACTGTCAGAATACCTCCTAAATTCTCATTGTTTGTGACAATTTTCTATATCCTGAAAGACTTTACCTAAATAAAAGCTTACAACTGCAGAGTCAGATGACTGCTGCATTTTATATAATTACTAGAGTAATCTGCCTCTTTCTTATGCTGTCTTTATCATCAGCCTTAAACACTGAATATATATTGTTAACAGTACTGTTCAAATGTAAGCTTTTATTTCTGTGCATAATAAAAGAAAGGACTTCTGGTTGTAAATTTATGGGAGCAGCTTTTTTTACCTGAAGATGTGGCTAAATGTAGATTCAGAAGTCACTCAAAGGATGAAATACTACCTTTATTTTTGCACTTGCTCTGAAGGATGGGATGGGGTGGTTATCCTGCCCCATTATTGACTGTGTTACGAATTTAGGGGAAATAATTTCCCCTTGTGAGAAAGATTCTCATCTGAGCTGATCTATCATAACTTAAACTGTCAAAATAACCTACTGAGTTACAAGAATTAGGCAGTGGATGATGGCTTTGTGTGCTTCCAGTAGCTCTTTGGCCAGCCTAAGGACAAACCAGCTTACATTATCCAATTAAGCTTTTGTTTGCCTTGGTGAAAAGGTACCAAAACCTTATTTAACTATTGCTTTACTGTAGCTGTTAAAACGCTTCTATTTCTAAATGGTCTGGTTCAAATTCTCCGTAATTGAAGACGTTTCCCTTGGTACCAGAGGCGCTCTGTAGTTCTGCAGAACAGTTTCAAACACTGTCTCATCAGACACTTCCCACGTTTAGGTCCATCTGCGTGGCAGGCAGAGATGCTCTGGCACTGCGTGTTGCTCTGGTTTGGATATCACTAGTTGCAAAAGCTTGGTCGCTGGAGTTTGGGTATTAAGAAAATACCAAAGATCCGAGCAGGGAAGGATGCAGAGAGATGGTATCAGCTCTGCTGCTATGGCTAAACTGTTGTTGCTGCTGAAATTTTGCAGTTGGGGATGGATATGCCCACTTATGCCACAGATGCTCATCCTACTTAGTGTTGGTCATAAACTGAGCTTTTCAGCAAGCCCTTGTTACTGTAGTAACTGAGACTGTCGTAATCTTTAATACATTTTTTTCTTCCCAACATCTCTGCAGAGTAGTGAGGGTAACTGAGACACTGAATGGCCAAGCAGACTGCACGTGGTAGTCTAGAAAGTCTGTCTTAAAGCAGGGAGGTGAAACTTCGTTGCAAGACAGCTGCCTCATCGCCTGTCTCTGCTGCTAGAGCAGCTTTTCCTCCGCTGGAAGAAAAAAACTTAATAATAAAAAGCCTCAAATCATGATCTGGCAAACAAACCAACAAAAGAAGGAACGACCACATCTCTGTCCACATGAGTCAAAAGCCCTGACCACAGCCTGCCGTGGGCAGTGGAGGCATCTTGGCATCGGGAAGCTCTTGGGCAAATTTGGGAAGAACTTTCTCGCAGGAGAAAGCTCACAGAGCGAGCTGGTGTGCTGGGAGCTCGATTGAGTATTTGTGTGGTGCATCTACTGCAAGTTGTGTGCCGTCACGATAATGGCCGTGTTACTGGGCACAGATTTTGCTGTGCATTTAAAGACTGGAGTGTGGTATCTGGGAAACGTAGAGGAGCTTGGTGGAGGAAAATAGGGAGAGACAGTCCAGTACTGTAAGTCCAGAGCTGCAGCAACTCCTAATCAAGCAAGTGAAGGGTAAGAAATACCCTGTCTATAAACTGAGTCACTGAAACAGTAAGTAAGGTAATTTTGTGAGCTATAATGGCCTTTGTGTGTACTGTTGCAATGTGTTATAGCACTCTGAGCCTTTGCTCTGTAACACCCAAATGACTTTTCTCGTTGGTTGATCTCAGAAGGTGCAGGATTCTTGTATGGGTTTCAGAGGGGAGGAGGAACAAAATTAGAGGCAGAAAAAGGGCCTGAGAGACTGTGTTTGCTGGTAGCTGCTTGCCAGCAGTTTCCACAGGGCACAAACACTCCCATTTACTCCAAATGCTTTGACTCACAGGGAGCTTTCGCTCCGTGCTTTAGCTAAGGTGGAGAAGCAGGTTCTGTCTTTTACTTGTT